AAAAAAAGGTATCTTCGTGATAAATATTGTCTATTGGTAGTCATGTACCAGATGCAATTATATACAAAATGATTCACTCATATGACATTGTCGATATGTAACTAATATCTGATATAATTATCATTGGACGTGCTCTTTATTTTCCCCGATAGTTATATATACATATGAAAAAACGAATGAATAATTATATATTGACTCATTTCGTCAATACTGTTCGCGAAAGTAACATATCCTCTCTGTACACGTCATTATGCTGTATAATTGAAGGCAAAAAAAACAAAAAATTGCTTTTTCTTTTTTCTTCTTTTTCTCCTAAACTGCATATGATTGTTGTCAACGCCTCAAGTAAATTATCAGTTTTTCTTTTTGTGTACCAACGTCATACGAAACGAAAAAGAAAAAGAAAGAAAAATGTATGTCTGAGGACATAAAGAACAGCAAAGAAAAAATATTTTAACTTTCATTCGTAACCTTCAGCACAAACCAGTGCCGATTTAAACTTTTTTTTTCCTCTACTCTATAAAATGAAATACAAACAATGTAAGTAATTCTGTAAATTCCAACTCAACTATATTTCATTATTAGTATGTCCTAAATCTCTTCGATCAAATAAGTCATTTAGTAAATTACATAAACGTTGTTCATTATGTGATTGTTTATTAAAAACTCAACATTATTTAACAATAGGTAAATCTATTCATGATTCAGTAATAATTAATAATAATAAAACAATAACATATGCTGAATGTTGTCAACGATATTTAAACGACAAATCTCTATCCGATCAATCACATATTATTTGTTCGAAATGTTGTAATAATTTACAAAATCTTCATTCATTACATGTAAATGCAGAAGAATTAACTAATAAAATACATCGAACATGTTATAAAACAAAACGTTTAAATCGAATTCGTCAGTCTTATTCAATCAATAGAATGAATAGAGAAATTAAAGAAGAACCAAAATCATTATCTGATACGAATAAACATGTAAATTAGAATTAGAATTAATAAATAAGCTTTTTTACGTCCATTTTACATTTTAGATTGAAACAACATCGAATATTCCAAGTATTAATTCAGCTTTTATTCCATCACAAATATTTTCCAATGAATTTGATTTGTATCGTGATGCAGTACATAATGCATCTACAGTATGTTTAAAAAAACCGAAATAATATTCACATTTTATTATTTTAGGTACCTTATGCTCAATTTTTAATTGATTCACCCATAGCTACAAATTTATCTCATCAACAAAAACAACGAGATGGATCAAATAATGATAAATCATTATCACCTGGTTTGTTTTCATTTAATATATTAATATACGAGTATTTAGCAGCAGAAAGCATATAGATAAGTTTCGTTATGTTAGAATTAATCATTATACTTTCGATCTAAGTGCATGTTTCAGTTATGATAGTTACATATGCATATCAAACATAAATAATTATTTCAAACTATTTTTATGTGAAAAATTATTCGGTCATGTTTTTACATAACTTGCATCTGATGTGCATAAAAAATTAATTTTTCTTTCAAATATTTCTAGACGCGTAGCTTATAAGAGATGAATTTTATGTTCGTCGATGTATTTTTGTAATGTGCTTTTGGAAGGTTTTTTTTTATCGAAATGTAAACTATGTTTATCTTACGCGTTCTGTTCTATTCAGTATATAGGCCAATATGTGTTTTTTGTTTTTTTACAATGAATTCTATAACGAAATTATTGAATATATGGGTTTACTGCCACGCCGTCAATAAGACATCCGTCATTGGCGAAATTTCACGCATTATTTGACGTAAATACAGTATATTCTCGCCAACTGTAATAACATAAGATTAGTATAGAATACATGTGAAACATAAACCTATTATAGTTACTAGAAGCTATTTTTACACATATGTAATCACATAATGACACTGGCGACTTTCCTGTAAGTAGGTTAGCGATATTCAAGAATCCCGATATATGTAAAATATAGTTTAATTCAAAGATGATACTACGTTGTCACGATTATGTTTTTATCTCAGTATTGCTAGCAATTCTATACAAAATATAATTTCGACTGAGTTAGAAAACCTTGTATCCTTATATAATTAATATCAAAAGATCATAAGTTAGTTGCTATCGTTAAATAATCGATAGTTATTATTAAATTATCAACAACTCAATTTATATTTACAGATGACGATCGATCAATTATATCATGTACAAATGACGAAGAAACTAATTCGAAAAGTGGTCGTTTAACTCGTCGTCAATATGATTTTCTTATGGAATTACCTGATCAACAATCATTGAATGCATTCATTGAAAGTTCATCATCAGAATCTGGTTCTCGTTGGACATGGCGTCGAACATCATCGAATTCACGTGGATATAAAGTTTATTATGTATGTAATTTTTCTATGCGTCGTCATTATCATCCATGTCCAGCTGCGATGTATGCACTTTTTAATCCAGAAGGTACAATATCAGTTTATTCCTTTGGTCAACATCAACATGTTCCTAAAAATCATCTTCCATTAATTATATCTGATGAGACGAAAGAAGAAATATTTAAATGTTTACAAACAGATATGTCAGCAAGTGAAATACGTGATCATTTAATTCAATTAAAATTACCATTTGGTGATACAAAAAAATTAAATAATTTTATTAAATATCATAGAGAATTATTACGTTTTGGTGCAGTTACTAATGTTCGATTGAATGGGACTGCTTATCGTCAACCTCATTGTTGGGCTATTCGACGATCATCACCTATAAATGCAAATACAACAACATCATCATAGACAATTTTTATCAGGCATACAAAAAAATGAACTTAAGTTTTTTTAAATTATTTTCTTCGGTAGAAAATAAATTTGAGGATGTTTTTTTAAATAGATTTAAATTTCTATTTCTATTATATCTTCATAAGTAAATCAATGGTGAGTTCTTTAGTAATATACTTTTTAATTGACAGTAGTGGTCTGAGTATCTCCTGCGATGAACTATCGGTTAAATCATATTTTGTCCTAAAAATCTCTTTGCACAAAATTGTTTATTAATATAGCAGTATTTTTTCTTGCTCATTATACAAAACATGAGTACTTTCATATATGCGTCAAACCATCTGTTTTTTCTCTCCTATGACTTGGTCATGTTGACACCGTAAAAATGCTTTACAGTCATTCTGAATTCGATGCAAAGTTCTATTTATTGACATTTACTTGAATTTATTTTGATCAATCTATTGATAATATATAACATACCTAAACTATACAGAAAAAAAAGTCATAGTCTTGATGTTTTCTATTAAAATACCAAAAATACATGACATTGACAGACATGAGAATCGTTGAATAATTGCTTCACACATAATTATATGTTGTTGTAAAAATCTATCGCTAGGAAATGAGGATCAGCGATGAATTCTATAAACTTCTTTTTTATTTTTGATGTCATATATCATCTAATTGTCTAGACTACTCGTGGTAATTATCAACATTTATGATCATGTTCTTTTTTTTCCGTTCATAATAAGATCTTCAAAAGACATATGACAAGGATTCATTAATATTTACATTGTTTTTTGTTTCTATATATATATGTATAATAATATTGCGTGACATAAGTCTAATCTGATATAGAATTAAAATTGTAAACAAAGTACTTTGTAATATTGATTGCTTATATTTATATTATATTGAATAAAGACGAAAGACATCGACATATTTCTTTTCTTATTATTAATGTATATATTATCATTTGTATCATTATTCAGTTTGTTTTCTTCTTGTCGAACCCTGGTTGATTGTCATATGGGATATGAGATCGCGATCATCATTATCTCCAATAAAGATGATGACGAAAAGAAAACTTGAATGTAAAGGGAAAAATGTCGTTTACATGCGCGTGCGCAAGCATTTAGTTGCTTTGCATGTTTTTTTTTTCTTGATGTTGACTGACTACTATCGTAGTTGATCGGAATGCTCAATATAGGCGAACGAGAGTAAGTGACGAATAAAATTGAGTTCCTTTCAACAATGTGTATAAGAGGGAGAGAGAGAGAGAGAGGGAAAAAGAAGAGTGTGTAAGTGTATATGTTGGTGGGATTTTATAACAAATTTGTTCTCTGCTTATATTTATTTATTTAACACAAACATATAAAGATCTGTTTTTATAGATGCTCTTCTCTTTCGTGTCGAAGTCATAATGCTTTCGCATGCATTCGCAATATTTTATTTTTTTTATTATGATTATTTTGATTAATGCTAATCAAGAAAATAAACCAACTGTTTTACATATTGGAGCTTTATTTAATTATGATAATTCATTAATAAATCATGGTCAACGAGATTTACAAGCTGCACAAATGGCTACTGATGATATCAATCATCGTTATCAAGAAATATTTAATGGTCGTTATATTTTAACATTACTATCAAACAATACTAGAGTATATGAAATATATTATTTGAAAAAAAAGAACAAATATTTTATTAATAATAATCTTATATTTAGTGTGATCCAGTTTATGCTGTTGATGCTTTTTTTCATGCAATATTTCGTCGTCCGCAATTATTATTTCTTGTTGGTACATCATGTTCAAATGAAACAAAAGCTGTCATACAAGTAGCTGATTATTATAATCTTATTCTTGTAAGTACAAATATTCAATCAGAATAATAAATATCCGTTTTATATAACAACGGAAATGAATCTATTTATGTATAAATAGTTTTCTCATTCAACTTCATTTATTTCACAAGCAAATCAAACATATTCAACACTTGTTCGTCTATCTGTATCAGATGAAAATTATAATAATGCACGTGTCGCATTTATTAAATATAATAATTGGTCTCATGTTGCTATTATACATCAAGATTCAATTGAACATTCTCTAGTAAAATGAAAATTTTCCTATTTTTTTGATTTTTCTTTAACTGTAATTTACAGATGATGGCTAGATTAGCTAAACGTTTAAATGAATCAGATATTAATGTTATGCTAACGCAAAGTGCTTCAATGGCTAATCTTACATCAGCACTTGAAACTCTTCGAGTATATATTTGAATTTGTTCGATTAGAATAATTCTTGTTTTTTTTTCTACTTTCCTAGGAAAAAAAAGCTCGAATTATTTTTGTTAGTTTTGATTTATCATCACGTGCTTTATTCTTTTGTGAAGTATATCGAACTTTTCCTAAAGAATTACGTGAACGTTATGTATGGATATTAACTGGAAATGATTATCATTTATGGAATTTATCAATAAATAATTGTTCAGAAAAAGAAGTTATTGATTCAGCTCGTGGTCATATTATTATTGATAGTTCATACGAAATGAAATCGAATATGATTAATCCAAATATGGTTAGTTTTTAATAGGAAGAGAGAGAGAGAGGAAAACGGAAAATTTTTATTAATATTTATTCTCTAGACACCACAACAACGACTTATTTTAAATGATCATCTTGATAGGCAAACATTACATGCTTATGATTCTATTTGGGTTATTGCTTTACTTATTCGAGCATCAATCGAACGAAAGTATATAAGATAGATTTAATTAATTTAATATATTTTTTTGATTGATTTTAGTATATCAATTGAAAAATTTAATTATAGTACAACAGATATGAGAGATCAATGGTTAACTTTATTGGAACAAGTACATTTTCTTGGAGTTTCTGTAAGTAAATTTACTATTATGAAAAATCATACTGTTTTTTTTAGGGTCCTGTTTCTTTTCGAAATCGTCAACGACATGCTGAAACTATCATAAGTCAATTTCAAACAGATTTAAACGAACAATCTATTCAAACTATAGCTGAATATTCACATATATCAGGATTAAATCCTAATTGTTCAACATGTCGAACATTAACTTGGCCAGGTAAGAATAAAATAATCTAATTTTCAAAAAATTAAATTTAAATAATTTAGGTTTAGTTCCAGTTGATACTGAACGTCGTGAAATTCGACGATTAACCATGAATATATTCGAAATTGCTTTTATAACAACTAGTTGTATATTAGGTCTTGCACTTGCAATTTTCTTTCTAACATTTAATATTATTTATCGACGTCAACGGTAATTAAATTATATAGTATGATGATATATTTATTCATATTAAGAAATTAATTAGTTTTACAGATAAATGAAACAATTTCATGTAAATAAATTAAAAGGGATACATGTCAATGTCATGAGATGATTGCGAATCATAGATTAAAGTCAGGAAACCTAGATTGAACTTTGTCGGGTTTGTTTTCTATGATCAGTATGAATAACAATATATTATTAGGACATTTGATTTATTTTATATACACTATAATAGTTTCAAAATCAAGTAATATAACTATCGAATGTATAAATAGTACTCAAACATCCTAACTTAGTTCATTGCATGTCTATTAAAAAAAAGTATTAATAATCCCGGATCAGACTATCTGTATAGATAAGAATTATATGTTTACCTTTCAGACATGTATTGATGGTTATTATTGTTAAAGACTTTCATAAAATCAAGTACAACCATACCATCTTAGATTTTTTCGTAACATCAGTAAATGTTAATTCTTGGTGCTATCACAAAGATTGATTTTTACGGGATAGTCTCCTAAAGAAAATATGAATGTTACTAAGTAATAGAATAAGAAAACTACCATTGACTTAGTTTTAATACAAAAGCTAATATATTTTCATCACTATAAAGTGTTTTCCTTTGTAAGTCAATAAAAGTCTTTTATTTCTATTGAATAATCTTAAACATAGATACATTACTCATATTTATGGATAGAATTGACCTAGAAAAAAAAACTATTTTAATTTCTATATAGTTATATTAAATTATCCAGTCCAAAATTAAATAATGTAATGGTTCTTGGTGCCATGCATATACATATTTCCATCCTTCTTTTTCCTCTTGATGAATGGTTTCTTTATCATCGTTTATTAGGCTATGCATGCATGGTAAAACTTTCTTTTATTCTATTTTTCGATCGTATCCATTCTGTTTTAGTTACGAATTTTTCTAATTTCTGGTGGATTTTCATTATTATTTGGTTCAATGTTTCTAAAAACATTACGTGTTTATCGTATATTTACATCACGTAATCGACCCTTACTTCAATCAAAAGTTTGTTGTTTTACAAAACAAAATATTAAACTAAAACTATTTCTTAATAGCTTCTTCATGATCATCATCTTTTACTTATATGTTTCTATTTATATAGTATTGATTTAATATTTACTATATTATGGCAAATATTTGATCCTCATTCAGCCCAATTTACATATAAACCGGTATGGAAAAAACATTTTGTTTTTTTTTTGCTAAATAATCTATTGATTATATAGATTAAAGGTATTAATATGGATGTAATCATTTTAAATGAAATTTATTCTTGTCATTCAATATATCGACATAAAATTTTATCATTTATTTATTTCTATAAATCTTTATTTCTTGTTATTGGTGGTTATTTAGCTGCTAAAACACGTCATGTTCATATACCTGCATTAAATGATTCAAAATTTATTGTTTGGAGTATATATATAGTTGTTTTAACTAGTTTATTTACTGTTATTGTAATGATGTCAATGAAAAATTTACGAACATATGTTACAATTTGTTTAGTTGTTGTTATTATTACAAGTTCAATATTATGTTTAATTTTTTTACCCAAAGTATGATCAAAAGAAAAGAATAATAATAATGAAAATTGTACTGTTTTTTGTTTGTTTTAGGTAATTAGATTAAGAAATCCAGAGAGCTCATTACGGGATGTTGTTTCAAGAGAATTAGTTATTGATGTTTCACGTACAAGACGTTTAGTTGAAGAAATAAGTTATTTTGAAAAATATCGTTATGCACAATTACAAAATCGAGAACTTAAAGCGGAACTTCTACGAGTAAGATTATTAATTTATTTCACTGTTTTACTGATGTAAATTGAAATAGAGAACATCTTCATATGATTAGAGTACAGAAAATTTAAAGATATCAAAAGTCAATTCTTCTTTATATTTTCCTTCTAAGAGTATAATTCAATTATAAGATGACATTTTGGATCAGCTGTAACAAATTTCATAAATCGACCTGTCTACCTCTGGGATGGGTTTTTTTTCAGAAAAATTGATCTAGCATTACAACAGCGTAACTGATACGAATTGATTTTTTTGTGTACGTCTAGAAACGTTCTCCTAAACACATATTACTAACAAACTCATGTCGACTACCTTTTAATAACCGAGAATTAGACATCAGAAAACTTGATTCCGTCATGGCATATAATTGTGAGCGTAGAACATGACTAAGAGAAGCAAACTTGATATAACTTATGGCACATGTAGAGCAACTAAGACTACGTTCTATGTCGGAGTTTCAGCCTCATATGTTTCCATCTCATTGGAATAGAGAGTGAACACGGGGAGAAAATCTGATTCCGTCACGCATAGACAGGTCGAAATAAAATTGATACGATCTTAAACAAAAACATGAAATAATCTTGTCACTTGCCAAGTGTTTTTAATTTGAATATTCAATTTAAGAAATGCATTAGAATCGTTTTTCTTCAACATTTATCTCTATTTTCATCAGAATACTAGATCTATATACGAGTGTTTTATCCGGCGGGTGGACGACCGAAATTTTTGTAGTTAAAATAAAACATTTCTCATTTATATCTAATATAGCTTAACAATATTCTGGTTGGTCTTGAACAAAAACTTGAACCATTTTCTTCAGCAGTTACTATGTCTCTTCTTCCGATAGCTGTTCGTTGGGCACAAGCATTTTCATTTAAATCTGATTTTCCGTATGTATAACAAATAATATCGTTTCAATTTTTAATAGCCAAATTTTTCATCTAGACCATTAGCTATTCCATCGAATAATAAAATACATATGGAACCAATACTATCTTCATCAGAACAAGATAATTTACTCGATAGTGATTCTATTCGATCAAGTGATACATTATTCGATTTTAATCAAACATTAGCATCATCATTATCTTCTTCGTCTTCAGAACTTAATCTCTCATTAATATCACAAACAATTGATGATGAGGATTCATTACTACTTAGTGCTTTAGGTAATCGAGAATCTGTCACAACAGATGATGATAATAATACAAGTCTATCAAGAACACCAACACCAACTCAAACAACAAGTGATAATGAATCGGTGCTGTATTTACGTTTACAGAATGAATTAAATATCTATCCTGCAACATTGGATAGTGATCTAGAAAGGATAGATTATTAATTATGTTGTTTGTGGGTTTTTTTTCTCTATAAATTATTGAACAACATGCAAAAAATAAAATATTTTTATGTTCATCATTTAATAACATACTATTTAAAAAAAAGCACACGATTTCTAAATTCATTTGAATTAAATTAATCAAGCATTCGTTCTCTGTTCATGTATATTCAATAATATTTTCTCCAAAAAACTTTATCATACAATAGCGACATCCGTCGACGAAGGAACTGAGTCATATATTCTATTACCAATCTTTCTGTTCTTCTTTTTTTTAAATTTCATCAATTTTTCTATATTGATCAATTAATTTCACAATTACTTCGTCATCAATAAAATTACGAATATAAAACCATTTCATTTTATCGTCTTTCCTTCAGATTCGTAGTTTTAGTTTTTAGTAAATTTCCTCTTCCATGGGTCCTCGCCGTGATAATCTAAATAATAAATTAAATTCATCAAAACGTCAAGAACGTGAAGATCGACAACAAGAAAAAAAAGATCGTGATAAAAAAACTTATTTGAAAAAAGATAAAGCGACTCCAGCATTCAATCAACAATTACGAGCATTTAATTTACAATTAAGAGATATTGTAGGTGATGGTAATTGTTTATTTCGAAGTTGTGCGTTATTTTTTTTATTTTATTTTTAATAATAAGTTCTATTTTCAATAGTTGCCGATCAAATGGATGGTGATCAACATCGACATGCTTCGTATCGTGAAAAAATTTGTAATTATATGCGTAATAATCGTGAAGATTTTGAACCATTTATTGTTGATCAATCATTCGATGCATTTGTTCTTTCACTTTCCAAAGATGGTACATATGGTGGAAATGAATGTATCGTTGCATTCTCACGTCTTTTCGATGCTAAAATATGTATACATCAAGTAATTGCTTTAAAGATTCACTTTCTATACGTACGGCTACGTTTAAATTTCCAAATTTAAACTAGTTTTTTTCCGAGATTGAAAAGTGTTCGTTGATTCAATTGTATATTAGATTTATTATTTTAGTTAAATCAACCTGTTTGGATCGTATGTTTTTCTGATCCTCCTAAACATGAAATTCATATATTATATCATAATTATGAACATTATTCTTCTGTAAGAAGCTTAGGTGATCAAGCATCTACACCAGCAAATATTCGAAAATCTATGACAACATGTGATCCATCATTAATCAATGAAAAAAATAAGAAAACAGCAAAGGAAAAAAATAATGGTGCATGTGCTAATGACTCAGAAGAATTATTTAATGAATATGATGTTGAATATATTAATTCGCAATTAACAAATCCTGTTGATCTTCAGTTAATTCGAGATACATTAACGGATAAATATGGAGATATTGATGAAACAATTGCTCATTTACTTGCTTTAGATATTCCATCATCACCTCAACCTATTAGTATTCCTGAAGAAGAATCAAATGAATCTATAGAAAAAATCATGTCAATTACAAATATCTATAATGTTGAACTTGTACAACAATCATATACTCGTAATAATCATGATATTGATTCAACTGTTCAAGCATTACTTGCACTTACAATAGATGATAATAAAACTAGCGAAACATTCTCAGATGTAGAAACAATAGAAGATGAAGAAAAAGAAAATAAATCGAAAACAAAAAATAGTCGATCAGTACCAAGTCGTCAACTCAAACTTGAAAAGAAAAAAGCGAAAAAACAACGAGCAACTGAAAAACATCGTGCACAAGTAATAACTACTACCGGCAAAACTTCAACGAAACCTAAAGAAGAAAAAGTTGATCCATCTGACAATAATGGACAAGAAAATGTACCACTAGCTAATATGGAATTTATTAGTATATAATTAGTGTGATATATTAGTTGAAGTTTATTTTTGTATTATAAATATATTTTTTATATGATAAACATTCATTAAATAATATGAAAACGCATGTTAAGAGTTGTTTATTCATTCAGATTATGAGAAAAATCTAAATGAAGATAAATTCTTCGTGTATCTCGAAGCAAATATAAAAGTATCGTCTTTTTAAAATGATAAAACCTCTAGGTTTGTACGTGCCGATTTGACCTATGAATATAAAAGAAAGTTTACTTGTCTATGGTGAATGGTTAGCAAGAGAAATATAAGAAAATAATTTGAGGTATAATTTCAATGTATGTGCATTTTCATTCTTCTCTATACACTTATACTATAGGAAGAAATAGAATAACTGATGAAAAGAATGCTAAGAGACAGCTCACCAGGCTTTTCTTTTATATAGTAAAACTGTTGTAATAAGTACAAAATTTAAAATTTATACTATATTTTATTAAGAAGAACCAAGCATTTCGGGACTTAGGATTGTTCTACATGTTTTTATTCTTTCACTGTTTCAGTAAAAAATGAAAATGAAGTAAATCAACTGTATGTCGACTAATGCTCTTCTCGGATGATTGTAACTCCTTTTTTTTTACTACACCGAAGAAAAGACTGATTGACAATATCGGAATATAATCATCAACGACAAAATTTATTCTTTTTTAGATGTGATGAAATTGTTCGATTTTTAAAGCCTTGATACAATCAATTCACATGAATACACCATTAGTTTTCAATCCAATAAGTATTCTTTCAAAAGAAATTACATTTCCATATAATTCAAAAATAATTATGTCTTCATTAACCGATTAATGTAGTCATTAACCTTCATAGTATAGGCAATGCTATTTTTTTTTGCTTCTATTTTTCATCATAACAATTTTCAGTTGATCAAGGTGAATTTTAGACATTGTTCTTGCATTCTATTAGAAAGTTCAATTAATCAAGATTAATCGTTCCAGTCAGGAACTATGAATAGAAGAAAAAAAAATTAATTACATCGATTGATCATAATCTCTTTTTTCCTGTTCATTCAATATAACACCGTCACCTGCTTCGATTCACTGTAATACACACCTGTGCTATTAGCGCTCTCTATCGTTTTGTCAAATATTTACCTGATTGAATAAAGGTATATGTCATTGAACAATGAAAGTTGACCGATAGTTATTTTACCTCAAGTGAGTCATTCATCGCAGACTACTTATTCATAAAGTTTAACGGTCAAAAGATCGTTTGATTAAATTTCCAAATAAGAAAGAAGTTTCATACGAGTGTGCTCGAGGCCATTCAAGGTAATGCATGGCGTTGTTGCATCTCGTTATCATTTTAGTCTCATTTAATTTTTATCAAACAACTATTTTACCCAATCTTGTTGGTGATATTCTTTTAACTCGTCTTGAAAGTCCATATGATTCTACAGGAGATGCAATTATTCCATATGGTTCAACAGTTACTATTGAAAGTGGAACAACATTACGATTTTCACGTGGTTCACAACTTATTGTTCGTGGAACACTTTTAGCAAAAGTAAATTTTCTTATAAAAAATAATTAATAGAAAAATTTATATTTTATTATATATAAAAGGGTACATTTGATCGAAGAATTACATTTACTAGTTCAACAAGCGCACTCTATTATGATCAACAACAAATTTATCGAAAATCCGATTCGAATATTCGTTTTCGTCTTGTTGATGGTTCAAATATACAAAATGGACTTTTACAAATGTTTTTCAAAAACCGATGGCGTTATGTTTGTACAGAATTTTTTCGGTAAAACTTTTCTAAGATTAAGTTTTTATTTTTTTTCTATAATAAATTTTTCCTTTTAAAGATGGTTTGATTATGATGCATCATTAACATGTCGTATGATGGGTTTTCGAAATGGAAGTGTTATACCATATCGTGTAAATAATAGTGATTCATTATGGTATGGTTTACAAATTGATCATCCAGCGTGTCGATCTAATCTTGATGAACATGTGCTTGATTGTCCTGGTGTACGTGTACCGCCACGACTTGGCCTTCATATATGTGGTAAATAATATAATAGACAGAGAAAAAAAACGAAAAATTCTATTCTTTAGCTACTAACTAACTACTAATAATATATATATTTATTCACAATTAACCTTTTATAACACACACAGCTGGGATTGTCACAGATTCATTTGTTCTTAAAGTTGAAAATTATATTTCGAATTGAATAAGTGTGTTTATTTTGAAATGAGATCAATGATTTTGATTACCTTCAAGGCATGAATACACTCCATAGGGTGTCTGATTGATTGTGTAGAAGGACTCGGTGATGTAATATTTCTTCTTCTATGAATTCACCTGTGTAGAACAAAAAAAAAATTTATGTCTGCTTCATTGAAATTTCCATCTCAGTTGAAATTGAAGTGATACGACAGAAACATATAAAACGATGAGTTAAACATCAAAAATTATATATCAGATTTGAATACATCTAGATAAAAATTAAGAATGATTGTATCATTTTAATTGATGCTTACGAGCCAAATAAATATAGTAAAAAAAGATTGAAATCCATTGATAATTATACGGTTAATAATGAAAGTATTTGATCTCATATTGTGTTACATCGAGATAGAAAGCACATAAGACTAAAAATTTGTGTTAGAAAATACAAATCCTAGAAATATCTTGATCGTATCCGGAGATGATGTTTCATTCCCTACACTAATTTGTATTGTTTATAATCAATATTTCGAGTCAAGATAAATCAAGAAAACTAAAGAACAAAAACAAAATTTGTGACAAAACTGCTTCTAGCTTTTACTTTCTTCTTTTTTTTTATTCTAATTACTCTAGATCAATTTATTCAGTAAGAAAACTACCTATGCACATTCTATGATCTGCTTTGTTGTCATTTGCACGCTTTTCTTTTTTATGCTGCTCCTTGCTTTCATTGTTGCATGGCAATTGCCTTTTTTTCATTCTATTTTTTATTTTACATTAATAAATTTAGATGATAAACAATACGTTCGTCTACAATGTGATGGTTTTTTTGACTCATTATCTGTTCTTAATTGGGGTGGAATTGTTTTTGAACGAAAATTTTCAACGAATAAATTAAGTGATATTCCAGAAATATCAGATTCAGCATCACCCGTATTTAATGATATTAATCAACGACAATCAATTCTCAACTATGTTGATATACTTCATGCTGGTTTACGACCAGAATTAACTATAAGACATTATGCAGAACGTTATGCAGCATTAACTGTATTTGATAATTTAATTAATCCATTATTTGACAATATTACAGTACTTTATTCCGCTTCGGATGGTATGAATTTTTCTAATGTTGGAAGTTCAATACGATTAAAAAATTCAGTATCAGCTTATAATCGAGGTACATATATTTTTAATTATGAACTTTTATTCTCAGTTTAATTTGTTCGTTTTCTAGGACATGGAATTGCTGTAACAAGTCGATATGGAAATGTAACATTAGATAATGTTCATATATTTGACAATGCAGGTGATGGTGTATATTATGCCATGAATAATACAGAATGGTCTCTACGAGAACAAGAAGAAAGTCCGAAACGTTTATATAAATCATTTTGTGAAACAGCAAATAGTGTAGAATTTCCAAGTTACTTTACTTATCGACCACCTGCAGCTGGAACATGTTGTACACAAGTAAATATTTTTAATTTCTTCGTATAATAATAATTTTTGTTTTCGAAAAGGCTTTTTCTTCAATGTATAATACACGTTTAACAGTTCATTTTCAATCGGTATTTCTTGCTGATTATCGTACACGTTATCGTATTGAATTATATAATGGTCAATTTGATATGATGCCATTATTAGCAAATATAACATTTAATCGAACATTAGAAAGTTTATCATCATTTTCAAATGAATTACTTGTACGTTTATGTCATTCATGTGATGATGTACGAAGTTTATCATGTTGGAATCAATCGGATCGAATACAACTTTATGTTGTTAATGATGATGGTAATTATAATATTTTTTTAGAATAAAAGAAAATAATGATATTCTTATGTAATAAGAAAAGAAAACACATTTTACGTGTCGAAATACAGTTGAAGTGTTTATTTAAGGAAAGAATGAACATGAGTAGACATGTATGGACAAGATTATAAGATAATAAAAACAATACTATAACATATATATCGAAGAAGAAGAAGACTATAAAATGATGAATTAGCTTCTTAAAATTTAGAAAGGTTTCTGGAATTTTACGTATATACACATGAATCAGAAAGTAAAGGACGCGCATAGCTACTTTTCTGCGACTGATTATTTAATGAATATAATCAATATAAAATTGGCAAAGTATTCGCATCCACTATTAAAAATATTTTATATATAGGTCGTGATGCAGATGTACATATATGGAATAGTCGTATTGTAAATAATTCATTAAGTGGTGTACGTGTTGTAAATTTACGTAGTCTTATTGAAATTAATCAAACAATAATCAATCATAATCAACGTCATGGTCTTGATATTGATTCTGGAGCAGGTTTGTTTTTCTTTTCAGTTCGATATTTATTTTATTTATTTTGAAATTATTTTTCTAGGTGCTCTTTGGACATATCATTCAAAGTTTAATTCGAATGGTGAAGATGGTATTCATATGATCTATGATGGTGGTGAACGTCGAATATCTTATTCGGATATTGCATTTAATAATCAACATGGTATATCTATACGTCTTGATTCACCACCAACGGGTTCTTTGTTATCATCTATTAATTTTCCAACATTTGCATGTCGTCAAATAACATTTATAAATGGTTCTTCCATACGTTCAAATGGTTTTTATGGTTTATGGCAACGTGCTACATGTCATCCTTCATTATTCTATATAAATGGTTCATTATTTGAACGTTCAGTATACGATGCTATGCGTTTTGATTCATGTCAACATGAATGGCGTCCACAAAAAGTTATTGATTATCAATTTCGTAGTCCAATGATACCATTCAATAGTTTATTACCACCTCCACCACCACCAAGTATAATCTATCAAGCACCTATACATGTTTATCCAGATTATCCTTCATGGATACCAGTCGCATTATTATATGCGAATGAAACAGGTAATACAATAATAAATGTAACATGGAATCGTTTTTTAAATAATAAACGTGTTGGTTTACGTTTAAATCCCATACAAAATGTACTTGGTGATATAGCAAATAATTCATTTATTGGACATGAAAATGGTGCCTTGTTAATTGTTGGTAATCAATCAAATTGGATTGAAGATGTTTATTTACGAAATGTAACATTAAGAATACTGTTTAATAATTTTACAAATAATTATGGAAGAAATTTTATTGTTTCACTTGATTTAAATGAATTATCACCCTATCAAACAATATTATTTATGTATAATCGTTTAATTGATAATAATATAACTTCAAAAATAAGTCAATTTTTAAATGCACGTTCACGTACACCAGGCGTTTTAACTATTGGATCAAGTCATATAAGAATAACGAGAAATATTTTTGGAAATAATCAAAGTCAATATGATATTGTTAGTCAGTTAACAAATTCAAGTGCAATTATTAAAGCAGATATGAATTTTTTTACAGCAATTTATCCACCACCGTATACTTTAACAAAAACACCACTTAGTTCATATGAACGAAATCAACATTTACAGGTATAGAAAAATAAATCATTGACAATAGTCAAAACTTCAATACTTCTTTTTTTCTTATAGTCTGCTGTGCATAATTATCAATTATACCAACGTCAAGAAATGCCATTACGACAAGTATCTCCAATACATCGTTTATATAATCGTACACGTCGTCAACAACAAATGCAAGTTCAACCAGTCTCTCAAATCAGTTATAGTTATCTATCGGAACCATATGATCTTCGTAATGATTTCTTTCCACTTGATTCAGTTTTTCAACGTCCTTATGCTCCACCTCAAACTGTACAATATTATTTACCGGAAACTCAACAAGAAATTTTATCTGTTCCATCAATAAATAAATCAATACTTCTTTCATCAACTAATAATGATTGGGCATATTATGCGTCACCAGCATCACCAACACCCTATTATTTTTCACTTTATTATGATCGACCTGAATTATGTTTTTCACAATGGCCAAAAATTCGTGAAAGAATATTTGATCAACATAATCGATCGAATTTAGCATCAATTCTATGGTATCCATTTTTATGTAGTGATCGAAATTTAACAACAGAAATTTGGCGTTGTCAATTACCAAATTGTGGTTTTGAAACAACAAGTTTTCGTATTGATCCATTAACATCAACCATAGGTGGAATTATTGATATGGATTATAATCTATCACCAGGTCGTTATACTGTTATAAATGATATTTTAATTAAACCAGATAAACGTTTAACAATACAAAGTAGTCAATTAGAATTTTTGAATGGTATTGGAATATTTGTATATGGTGAATTAATAATACAAGGTGTTGATGGTTCACCAACACGTTTAGATTTATTTAATAATAAAACGTCAACAAGTATTTTAGTTAATCAACAAAAACAACAAGAACAAAGTCAACGAGGAATAATGTTAATTGATGGAGCAAATATATATGAAGGTCGATTATTTATAACAAGTCAAAATGATGGTTCAGGAACTGTATGTAATCATGGTTGGACAAAAGAAAATTCTATGCTTGTCTGTATGTCATTGGGTTTTATACATGATCCAAATGAATATTTATATCCAATTATTAATATAAATCAAACAAATACGAATGATCCAATTATATGGAATGAAGTTGATTGTGATTTATATCAAGATCAATCTATTGAACAATGTAGAAAAGAAACTGTTCATACATGTGATCATGCAGATGATGTTTGGATTAAATGTTTACCATCTTCATGGGCTGGTAAGTTATTTAATAATCATCCAGGTTTCATTTTTCGGGTGTGCGAAATGAAAATTTCGGGTGGGCAAATCGAAATTTCAGATGGGCACCGCCCACCCGCTCGATAGAATACTGATTCGAATAGATTTAAGTAGTGGGCGTAACCGAGGTATGGCATGGGTAGGCGCCGCCTACTCACCAGACCTGTTCGCCTGCCCACCCATAATTTGAAAAAGCGACTTTACCATATATACTATATAGTATTTTAAAAATCGGTAGGGCGGCGTCTACCCACCCGTTAATTTTTGGTTACACCACTAGATTTACGTATAATATCTATAAATTTTTTGTATTTTAGGTATTCATATTTTTCCAACATATAGTAAAACTCATCTTGAATTTGTTCATATTGATTCTGCTGGACAATATGATATACATAAAGATGAAATTCAAGCTGGTTTACATATTGATTTACTTGCACATCCATCAAATCGTTTAAAAAATCTGACATTTACAAATAATATTATCGGTTTACAAATAAATCATATTCATCCAGCTAATTATGATTATTCAATAATTCATCATTCATCATTTAATCAAAATTATTATACAGGTGCTTTACTTCATTCAAGTTTTTTAAATTTTTCACATTGTACATTTACACATAATTTATATTCTGGAATGAAATTTGATACATCATTTAATTATTATGAACTTGAACAATTACGAATCAATTTACTTAAATCTCAAACAACTGTTAATACAATTGATTTATTATATGAACAATCCTATGAACTTGAAAGAAATAAATTTGCTTTTATAACAACAACATTTGGTGGTTATAATGCTGATGATAATATACTTTTTAATACATTAAATATTCGTACAGATCCATCGTATATATTAATTGTTGATCTTATTGATTATAATCCATTATCGAATTTAAATGAACAATTAATAATATGTGAAGTTGAATGTCAGCAACGTATGGGTTTAACACAAAGTTTATCCTATAAAAAATGGTCATTAGCAAATGATAGAGATCTATTTCCATTAATAACATCATATTCAAGTTTACAATTTCATTATCGTCTTTATCGTTATCGTACAAGTCGTTTAACATTCATTATTTATAGTATTCCAGCACCAATATTTACACAAGGTAAATTTCTATCAGATATATCAATAAGATTTCATCGTGGTTTATTTTCTTATAATCAACATGATATTGTTACATATTTAAATGATCGTGAAAAAACAAATAATCAATATGCATTAACAAATCAATTAAAAACGGATACGGAACGTTTAATTGAACAATTATTAATGGGTACAAGAATAATAAATGATGATCCTGTATTAGATATAATTGAAGAAGAAGATCGAAATACTCGTAGAGAATTTCAACAAGAAGAATTTGAAGATAAAAAATTGAAACGTCAAATAACAATGATTAATATAAAACGACGTTATAAAAATTCGACTATACAAATTGATGAATGTTTATTTGAATATAATCAAAATCGAAGTATATTTATTGATCATCAATCGAAAAAACTTCATGAAAATAAAGTTGAAGAAAATATACGAATGTTAATGAATGAAACTATACAACAGAGAAAACAATTTATACCAATACAATTTACATGTAGAATTGATAAATCAATTTTTATCAATAATCGACAAGGTTAGAATTATTTTATTTGTAATTCACAAGAGAAAATCATCTTGAGGGGGTGGGTGTGGGTATGACTGTCAGTGCTCTAGTCATATTGTAACCCGATCCATTGCAAGGGGTAGCGCGAGTTAGCCAACATTGGGGAAAGGGCGTGTAGCAAAATGTTTTGGAGTAAAAAGATGAATTTCCCGGTTTTTAGGGGAGGGGAGGGTAGCATTATCTTCGGTAAAAGACGTCAGAAACTTTACCGATTTTGTTGAGTAGAAAATAGAAATTTCGAAAGACTGGGGGAAGGGCGTGTTACGCCTTCGACACTCCCCCCGCCCCCAGTCGCTCCAAGCATAATGCGCACTCACATCCACACCGACACTTATACCCACCCTCACATCCACCCTGAAATCATTCTTTTATAAATAAAATTCTAATATATTTTTTTTTTTCTAGTACTTAATCTCGATGCTCATCCAATGATATTTTCTGATCGTCTTATTCGTTTTGAAATAACTCATACTAATTTTACACAAAATCATGATCTTTTATTGAATCTAACATTTCCTCGATTATATCCATTTAATCGAACTATTTTTGCAAGTCTATCAATATGGCCATATTTTCCAACAAAATCTATATATACACGTTCACCATTAATCTATTCCATACCATCACATGCTGTTCGTATATATAAAAATTCATTTATTTCAAATGAACATAGTTCTATTCGTTTAACTGGTTTTCATACATCATTTAATCTTACACATTCATTATTTGAAAATAATCTTAATTATCAAACATCATTAATTGATTTACGTCATATAGAAAAAGATTTTCTTCTTGATGGAAATATTTTTCTACGTAATCAAGTACATAATTTACTTTCATTTGATTCTAATGGTCATGCACCATTTCATAATGATTTATTATATCAATCATCAATAATATTTAATCGATTTATTGATAATAAACCATCATTATTAACAAAATATCCATATTTACCATCATCATGTATACGTTTAATTGGTTCATATAATGTAACAATTCAAAGAAATTTATTTGAAAATATTCATTATGATTATGAATTAATTGCTGCACTTATTATTGATACAATTAATACAACATTAGATGCAACTGTAAATTGGTGGGGTTCAGATGTTGGACAAGCTATACAAAATCGAATTTTAGATTTTACAAAACGTTCTGATCATGCATATGTACAATGGAATCCATTTCTTGCTTGTAGAGAATTAACATGTGCACAAATTAAATTACCTATACAAACTATTTTACAAATGAATAGACCATTAAGAGGTTTAATAACATCAAATACATTAATACATAAACGACGAGAACCTTATTTAATAAATGGAGATTTAATTGTTATGCCAGGTGTTAAATTAACTATTGAAGCTGGTGTTGAACTTCATTTTGCACCTAATACTGGTCTATTAGTTTTAGGACATTTAAATGCTACTGGTACACCTAAAGATCCAATTGTAATGAAATTAGCTAATAAGGAATTTGTTATGGAACAAATCGCAAATGGACATAATCCTTTTCAATATCATTTTACTGATGAAGTTCCATTTGCAAAATATAAGGTAAGAATAAATTCAGAATGTACCTGAATTGACTCATGTGATTTGTAAATACTTCTATTGGGGGCAAAATTCGAATTCCAACTCTTGAGAGTGTGTGTGTAGTCGTCGATATTCGCTGCATCTACCATCCACATCCAGACATACGTACACTTAGATCCTCAGCCATACTGACACCCACGCACCCACACCCACCCTCAATATAAAATCATCAGTTTTTTTATAAATAATTTTTACCATTTCAGTATAATCCTTTTATTGATCGTTTACAAATTCGTCTTGATATTGGTCGTACACCGAATGAAGGTTTTCTTCAAATATATAATTGGACACGTCGTGATTGGTCATATGTATGTTATGATACATTTCGTCAATTATTTTCCTATCGTTTAATATGTCATCAATTGGGTTTACCATGGAAAAATGTTCTTGCTCATCCTGATTCATTTTATTTATATGATTATCAAAAACTTCCACTTTGGCAAGAAACAATTGATTGTTCGGGTAATGAACCAGCGATTTCATCATGCTCATTTACAAATGAATATAATAATACATGTACAAAATTATTTTATATTTCATGTTATGATGATAATCTTTTATATACATTAAATTCAAAAGTTCAACCTGAATTTGCAAATAATCTTGGTGGACATCCGTTACCATTTTCATCACCGTTCGTATTTTATAATTTATGAAAAGAATTATTTAATATTTTGTTTTCTAGAACTTATGAAAGTCCACAATCATGGAATGGTATCCGTTTTGCAAATAGTGAATATGAAGAAGATTTATCATCATTAGATTATACAATAAATGATCAATCATTATTACGATTTGTATTAATATCTGAAACAAATGATTATCAACCAGCTATACAAACAATCTATCGTACACCAGCTATTGAACGTATACATATTGAACATAGTCGTCATATTGGTTTTGAATTTCTTTTACCAAAACAATCTGTCTTATTTGGTTATAGTCAAATAACAAATTCATTAGATTTAGCTATTAATGGTCTTGTTTATTATGGACAATCAACTGATGAAAAATCAACATTTGATCTCTTATATGAACAAAGTATTCATGGACAACCATTTAGTTTACTTAATTTATGTAATGCACATAGAATTGTTAATGTTAAATATCGTCTTATTACATATTATAAATACGAATATGATTATCGGACATGTTCAAAATTATTCTGTTCAAATAATCCATATAAAATTGGAATCAGATTTTTTCAAGTGAGTAAAAATGAATTGCTCCGAATCTAAATTTATTGTTTTTTTTTAGATTAATTTATTGAATAGTACATATCAAAATGATTGGATTGAAATCCATCGTGTAATGAATGATGAAGATGGAAATGAGAGAAATGAATTATTAACTCATATAACCAATGGTTCAAGTGATGCAGCATGGAGACAATTCTATTCAATTGAAAAAGGTTGCTTAAGAATAACAATACATGCATCAAGTGGAAGTATCCATCATGGTTTTATGGCTGAAATAACTCTTTTTCCTGTAACACCATTTTGTATGTTTTAAAAAATATTTCGATTTCAATGAACAATTTGCTAATAAATATTTTTTTGTTTTAGCTACACGTGAGATTATTCATCAAATATCGGATAATATCATGTTGGGCAATCAACAAGGTGTACTAAGATATATGTCTGCTGGTGAACGATCAGCGAATATCTATTTTCAATCGAATACACTTCTTTATAATGGCTACTATCGATATAATTCATCTTCATCACCAATAAATTTTTTTCTTTTTCAAAATGCTCAACGTTTTTATTTTGGAAATAATTGGTTGAGTAAAAATCTCGGTGGAACATATATACAATGTTATAGTCAATCTTTATCATCAATATTTAATGGGCATCTCTATAATAATGTTTTCTATCGAAATAAGTAAATATATATTTATTCTCTTTCTCGTAGAGAAGAGTCCAGCAAACATAAATTGTCTGCTTGAGTGTCCGCAGGGTCAAAAAAACATCGAAAATCAATTTTCATTTGTTTTTTCAGTAAATGTGAAGAAAATGCATTTCTACGAGAAAGAGCTAAGCGAGTCCACGGACGAGCGTTACTTGTTGATTTCAAATAAATAAATATATATGATAATCTATATTTTTTTCTTTTAGTAATGATTCTGTTCTTACATTTTATGGTATGGAAATGTCAGCATTTTGTAATTTATATGCGATACAAAATGCATTTTTGTTCAATGATGCATATGATCGAAATATTATCGAATTTGATTCAGTTGTAGCTAATTTTAGGTATAATTTTTTTAATGAAATAATCGAAATGAAAATGTTTTGTTTTTGAATTTAGTCGTAATCAAGTATATAATAATACTGGTGTTAATATTATATCAATGATTGGTTTTGAAAAAATTACAGCACCATTTCCAGCTGTCGAAATGAATTCATTTCGAAATAATCGTGCCGTCGGGAATCTTAATCAACAATTATTTGATCGGTTTGTTTTGAATTTTTCTAGATTTTATTATAAATTTAATTTTTTTTAAAGAACGGGTGCGGTTATTGAAGTGGGTAATCCACGGCAAATATATGCTTTTAATACATTTGATAATTGGGATAGTCGATATGAAATGCGAACAAGATCACGTCTTTTGTAAGAGAAAGAATAAAAAATCAATTAATATATTTACCCTTAATTATTCTTTAGTGAACCAAATCGTATGGAATCTCGTTCAGTAAATGCTTCGTCAAATTTTTGGGGACGAATCGGTGATGCTGATGATATCGGTGCACGTATTTATGACAAATATGATAATAAATCTTTAATCGAAGTTAATTATTATCCACCATATCTTGATTCTTCACGACTTCGACAAGGTAAATGTGATCCGGGCTGGACACTAGACGATACATTATGCTATATTTATTTGGGTGCTATTACAACGTATCGTATTGCACAAGAAATGTGTAATAGTGTTGATGCTCGAGTAACCCGACGTGATACACCATTAAATCGTCTTGCTATTCTTCGTTCATTAGTACGAACATCACAATATCAAGGTATTAATAGTGATGCTGTACCATCATCAGGTATTTGGTTAAGAAAAGAAAAAAATGAAGTTTGCCGAATATTTAATGATATGGAAACAATGGATGTTAGTTGTAGTTCAACAGCTGCATTTATTTGTGAAAAAGGTACTTTATTTTTATTAGATTAGAGTTAATATAGTAAACATATTGTATTTTTTAGAACAACAATTTGATGGTGTTCGATTAATTATTCGTGGTGATTTACTTCTTGCTATTGCTTGTATATTATTAATGATAATTTTATTAATTTTATTTGTTTGTTGTTGGTATTGTAAATCTCGTCAACGTCGTAAAGATAATTTTCAACGACAAAATTCACTTCGTCGTAGTGTTAAACAAGAAATGAATAAACAATCAACATTATCACTACATAAAAGTAATGATAATACATTAGTTAAAAGTTCAACATTATCAACATTAACAAATGGTACAACAAATAAATTACCATTATCATCTTTATCTCTATCAAGTCGTCCATTAAGTAGTGTAACAATGAATTCAGATAATGATCTATCAACATCATCACCTCTTCATCATGATTTTTCATTATTAAAATTAAATCATAATCTACCAAAAGCATCAACCCCCGCGTTAAGTGATGATACTGGTTCACAACGTGCACTTGTTCTTAATACACATACAGATCAATCAAGTGTTTATTCAACAACAACAGCAGATTCAGCAACATTATATCGAAGTCGACGACGTTTTGAACGTACACAAACACCAGTCATAGCTCCATCGGCACCACCAATTACACATCGACGTTCATTACGTAATCTTCATCAACAAGATTCTACAGCAAGTGTATCAACAGGTTCAATATCTCCGCCTCCAGCTTATGTTTCTCCGGCACATCAACCACGTCGTCATCGTTCAGATCAACTTCATTTACTTACACCAAATAATACTAAAAAATCATATGCAATTGGTACTCAGATAGATTCACACTCACAAACAAGTAGTCGAAGTAGTACACGACATGAAATTCCACCGCCATTAGAAACTGATATTTAATTATAATGAATCTCTTAATTTTTGTCTTTTTTTTTCAATTTCATTTTAATCTCAGGGATTTTAAGGTGCTATATAAGTGCTTACAATGAATATGCATATATATATATAAATAGATAATCATGTACAGCTATATGATAATGAAATAATAGAGAACAAAAGTATTTTTTTGATGTTGTTTTAGCGACTATTGTATAACATTTGTTTTTGTTTTCATGTATTCTAGTTTTCTTTTTTTTTTGTATATCATATTTGAATGGTATCATCCGTTTGTTTTCTTTCTTTCTTTAAAAATATACCAAATAAATCAGAGTTAGACTTGAATGTCTTACATCGAGATGTTACTTGTAAAGTTCATTGAATCTAAAAATTTGTGGATACAGTTGGACTTGCTGATGTAAAAAATGAAGATTTTTTAGATTTAAATTCAATTAATATGGCTTCGATTAGTATTGATATTGAACGTGTTCAATCATTTCTTAATAAACATCAAACAGTTAATATATTTATTAATAGAAAAATTGAAATATTTATTATCTCAGATATTTTAGACTGATCGTTCGATTGTATTAGTAACATCCGGTGGAACAACAGTACCATTAGAAAAAAATACAGTTCGTTTTATTGATAATTTTAGTACTGGTCAACGTGGTGCTGCTTCTGCTGAATATTTTCTTGAACGAAATTATATTGTACTTTTCTTTCATCGTATTTCATCGATTTTACCATATCAACGTCATATAAAAACAATATTTGATGAATCGCAAACAAATCAAACTTTTAATCATGATCAATATCATAAACATAAAGATTCTCTACTTTTAATACCTTTTCAAACTGTTTCCGATTATCTTGCTGGTCTTGAACAACTTTGTGGTTTATTAAAAATATTTAATCGAGCAGTAGTAATTTATTTATGTGCTGCTGTTTCGGATTATTATATACCAAATGATGAATTAACAGAACATAAAATTCCATCTGGACAAAATGAATTAACTATTCATCTGAAACCTGTTCCAAAATTGTTAGGTTTTGTTAAAGGGCAATATGCACCTGAAGCTTTTGTTGTTTCATTTAAATTAGAAACTGATGAGAAAATACTCCAAGAAAAATGTTTACAATCAGCTGAAAAATATAATCAAGATATAATTGTTGGAAATATGTTACAGACACGTACAAATCAAGTACAAATATATGAACGTATGGAAAAACAATGGACAACAATTAATCGATCCGAAGGAAATGCAGAACAGAAAGAAATTGAATTTCAAATTATTGAATTTTTATGTGATAGACATAGAATTTATCGAGAGAATCTTAAATAAATATGTTTTTTAAAATATATAAAAATAATTTATCTAATTTATGTTCATGAATTGTGACTGGTAAATCTAAATTTCTTTTAGTAGTTAGAGTGTGCGTGGGTCTCATCGATGTGTTCATTTACATCCTCTTTTCTTTTAATATAACTGTATGTGTTAATACTTAATATCATATAGACAGAGAAGATGTTTTGGTGTACAGATGCTGATCATAAATATCATTTTTTCCTTCATCTTGAGGATGTGAGTGTGAGAAAGAATGTGATACATACAGAAAATTTACACCCACCTTAATACACTATAAGAGATTATAGTCAGAGTTTACCAGAGGTATTCCTTTTTTCCAATAATGTTCTAATTGTGATGTTTTTTCAAAAATGTTTTATTTAACCTTTCTAAAACTAAGCATTATGTTGTTTTGAAAAATAGTTATCAACGTGCACCATGTCACAATAAAAAAAGTAAAAAAGAATGGATGCCGATTGTGTTGCTAGTCAGAATGAATGAGAGAAGTTTTAAATTGAATGAAATCGTCTTAATTGTCGTTGAGTTGTTAATTGAAATTCTTTTTTATAAGTGTCTGATAGCAAAACAAAGTAAGAAACGTAAAATTTAATAGAATAAATGAAATAAAATAACCAAAAAGATAAGTCTATGGTTGATCAATTGATTTGAGACATCCTCTAAAAAATGCAATAACTAAACGAGGTGTACCCAATCCTACTAACATCAAAGATGAAAATAAGAGACGTGTGTGGGTCTGAGACATTAAGATAGTAATCACACCTACCGATCTACACCCACACTCACATCTTCAAGATTTTGCATGTAGATACTAAACATTTTCTTCATGATTTTCTTTTTTTGAAGTTTATTTATGAATATAATAAAACTTTTCAAACCTCTACTTTAGCCATCTTTAATTTCATTGCCCACATTTACTATTTTTTTTTGATGCAAACTGATTATAAATTATCACATACGAGTTAATTTTTCGAAGAAAAATTCGGAATACTATTCTGTATATAATTACTATTACGTTAAGATCTACAAAAGATTTCGTATAAATATGTATATAATAAATCATGTTTGTTATCTTTATGATCATTTGAGATAGGTATTATACTAAAGCCGTCTAAAGAGTGCACTAGCAGCGACGAAATCATAATAACGGTAGCTTCACTCACTTTTTATCAAACTATGCATAAGTCAGTCGGAGATGGAAAAGAAAAAACGTTGTCCACGTGCGAGCAAAGCGTGCATGTAATTACCTGTATCGTATATCTCTAGTTTATGCACAAAGTAACGAACAATAAGTGAAGTATGGTCGTCGACGAGGTAAACACAGACGATATATCCTCTCTTTTCATTATTGTTATAACGTCGTTTTGAAAAGAAAAATTTTTTATTTTTTTAAAACAAGTTTATATGTGGCTGCATTTAACATCCAACCCCAAATAATTCATACGCCGATTCGTTCAGAAATTCACTTCGAATATCGTATCTATATTCGAAATAAAATTCTGTGAATTCTACTCACTCGAATAACTAGATTGTTCATACTTAAAACTATGAATCAGAAACTCTTAAAATACCCCTTACCTCCCATGATAGAAGATTCTAGGCACTCCTGAACTGTTCAATGTCCAAAGTTTTCGCGACAACTTCTAATCAATCGTCATGACTTTTCTCACATTCTAAATATAAAAATTTTACAAGACTACAAAGTAGCTTTCAGTGTTTCTAATGAATGTTTGAGAAGTTTTTGAGGTTATGACACTGATAAAGAAGAGTATAAAACATTTTCAACCTCATATCTTGCAATTGTTAAATTTTCATTATAAATAAAACAAAGAAAACTTTGCAAGAAACTCTTAGAGAGTTTGTAGAGTAAATGGGGTTAGGGTGAGTGTGGAATCGATAATGTTGATTATGTCTAGTACACCCACACTCTCAACATTTTGCGTCATAGAAAAATGTAAGTAAAACAAATCATTACCTATATAAATCACTGTTATTTTCTACATTCATTCAAATAATAATAGTTATCTCTAGTTTTAGATTCACGAACAATTTGCAAATCACATCAATATGAGTGCACAACAATCGAAAGACAGCTTTGGTTCAGTCTCCAGTTCAGATCAGGGACCTAGCCAGTGGGAGTTTCCTTGGGGCACAGGCACCCTCCTTAGAGAAAAAATATCTGAATGGGGGCACTGGTTACAAAATACTATTCGCTGGACAAAGAGTTTTTTTGTTGACGTGCATCCCCCATCGAATACATCTGGCTACGCCACTGGTTCAGGTGCATCTGATACAACTGTTACAACAGCACCGACATCAACACGTCAGCGTATGGCGCAAAATTATCTATTGATTTGGGTCGATGAAAGCATCGATGAAACCAACGAGGATTGTCAGAATACGTTGACACAACTTCGAAATGTAGTGAACGATGTTATTATGTGCACTCAATCTGATGAGTGTATCGCGTTTCTCGATAAACACAATGATGAAAACGTTTTCGTCATTACATCAGGATTACTTGCTCAACATCTGATTCCTGAAATTCATGACATGCCAAAATTAGCTGCCATTTTCATATTTTCTGACAATATATGTTATCATCAACAATGGGCTAAGGATTGGAAAAAGATCAAGGGTGTTCATAACGATATCAAGGACATATGTGACGCGTTAAAGAGAGGTGTAAAACAAGTCAATCAGGATTCAATTCCTATAAGTTTTGTCACAACGACTGAGGTGGTGTCCAGTGAAAATTTGAATCAACTGGAACCAAGTTATATGTACACACAAATATTCAAAGAGATTCTCCTTGGAATGGAACATAATCACGAGCAGGCGATCAATATCTTAACCGTGTGCTGGCGTAACCTGTACTCGGACAACAAGAGTCAACTAGTTATTATTGATGAATTTGAACGTAATTATCGCCGAGAACAAGCAATCTGGTGGTATACACGTCAGTGTTTCACTTATGAAATGCTCAATCGAGCACTGCGAACACTCGATGCAGATACAATTATTAATATGGGATTTTTTATACATGATCTCCATCACCAAATTAATCAGTTGCATCTACAGCAACTTCCAACTTATGATAGTAAGCCTTTTACAGTTTATCGTGGGCAAAGTTTACTGAAAAGTGATTTCGACAAACTCAACAAAACAAAAGGTGGTCTCATGTCCTTTAATAATTTTTTATCTACCACTAATGATCAAAATGTTTCCTTCATGTACGCTGAGAGTGCCTCGGAAAATCTCGCCATGGTGGGAATACTTTTTATAATGACTATTAATCCTCGTGTCGCATCAACACCATTTGCCTCTATTAAAGAGGTTAGTTATTTCAATACAGAAGGAGAAATTCTCTTCTCCATGCACACCGTATTTCGAGTAGGTACAATTAAAAAAGTTGATAATAATGATCAGCTTTATGAAGTCGAACTACAACTAACTGCTGATGATGACGAACAACTTCGACAACTGACCAAATGTATAAGTGAAGAGTCTGGGGGCAACACAGGATGGAAACGATTGAGTAACTTATTGATCAAAACAGGTCATTTCGAGAAGGCGAAAGAACTATATGACGTACTACTTAAACAACCATTGAACGAGAGTAATAACGTACTTTATTATAACAATCTTGGATATATCAAATACTGTCAAGGTAATTATGAACAGGCAATTAAGTATTACGAAAAAACGCGTGAAATCTTTGAAAAACCTCCTCCTGTGTTGGGTATTTCATACAACAACATTGGTGAGGCGCATAGCCAAATGGGAGAGTACTCGAAAGCACTCTCATTCCACGAAAACGCACTTGAAATCGGGGAAAAAACTCTTCCTGCAAATCATCCCGGTTTAGCTACTTCCTACAACAACATTGGTGGTGTCTATCATGATATGGGAGAATACTCGAAAGCACTCTCATTTTACGAAAAAGCCTATGAAATCTTTGAAAAAACTCTTCCTGCAAATCATCCTTCGTT